CTGTAGTTCCTTTATTCTTTATTTTATAACCCATACAGTATTTAGACAAAACTTAATTTTTTAAGTCAATTTGTTTAGAGTCTTTAATTGCCAATAACATACTTCTCTCTGTAGCAACTTTATAAACTACGATAACAGTTCTGTTGAAATTTTGATAACCATTCAGATATGGTTTTTATGTTCAGGCAAGATGAAAATGTTTTAATAGCTTTGTAGCTACAACCTATCTACAATGTAGCTCCGTAACGACACCCTATATCTCAAAAAGCTATTATTGCACGAACATTAACATCACATGGTGTGATAACTTTTACTGCATCCAATTCAGCATTTATTGATTTGGTTGGAGAATTGAATCTTTTAATATAACCATATAGATCAAATTGTATATTATTTTTGAGATTAACTTTTTTTTTATATGTTGCAAGAATGATTACACAATCAAAATACTAAATAATCCTAAAATTGATTTTTTTCAAAAAAAAACATCTCCTCTTTTGTGCCACCTAAGACAAAAACTATTTTTTTGTTTATGATATGTATTTTTTCCTAAAAAACTTAATAGTTCTTGCTTTCCATCGTTGAGGTGTTAAAACCTATTATATATCATTGTTATTATAAAAACATTTGAAAACAGTTCAATTATATTACCGACTTTCATAACGGGTGGTTTTGGCGTATGAGAATTCGGAGCCATCTTTATAGGGGATAAATGAACGAAAACAAAGTTCTTTCTTCTTAATTAATAAAAAATAATGGATAATTTATCAGAAAGAAAATAGTTGTACAAAATAATTAATAGATAAAGAGTAGAGTTTAAAAAGTATACTTTAAATATAAGAGAATGCAGTTTAGAACAGAAAAATAGATGCAATTATAAAAAATTAAATGCAGTTTCGGAACGAAAGTTGACAGAAAAGTTGTGACTGTTAAAACAAGTTTTGTTTAATCTAGCGTTAACGTTGCTTGTTAGTTATGAAAATCTTATGGGGAACAAATTTGTCTTGCTGCAGTTTTGTTTGAAAAAGATTTCACATATCTTTTATTTTGAAATGTTGGTTTCAAGAATATTAATTTTAAATTGTCGGTTTCAAAAAAATGTTGATATGTCCTTTCATTGTTATTATTTATAATAGACTTCCATGAAGTAAAGGAAAAAATATCATGACTTTAAAAATGACATTCTCAAAGTAAAAAAGACTAAATTTCAATGATAATTAAATCCTAAAATAAAGGAAACAAGCTTTCAAATCATATTGGTACAATGTTTTGTTTTTAGGTGTAAAATTTTCATCACTATCTCAGCTATCCAACAGCTATTCCATCACTAATTTTAGTGTAACAATTTTTTTAGTACATTTGGTGACAGTTAATTTTCTTTTTGGAAACACATATTGTGTTATTAATTATGTTATTTTTAGGAACAGTATAAAATTTTCCTTCCATTTATAAAATCTCAGCTATCCAGCTTTCCAACAGCTATTCCATCACTATCTCAGCTATCCAGCTTTCCAACAGCTATTCCATCACTATCTCAGCTATCCAGCTTTCCAATAGCTATTCCATCACTATCTCAGCTATCCAGCTTTACAAAAAAGCCTTCTTTTTTGCTTAATGCATCTTTTTATTTTTAAAGGAAACCGAATCTATAATACTAACTAAATCAGATCACAAAACATTTACCGCAATAAGTAATATTATTTTATAAATGGAAGGAAAATTTTATACTGTTCCTAAAAATAACATAATTAATAACACAATATGTGTTTCCAAAAAGAAAATTAACTGTCACCAAATGTACTAAAAAAATTGTTACACTAAAATTATTATATAAAAAACAACAAGCAGTGTGTTGAAGCAGAGAAAACAATTTTCTTTTTCAGAGAAAACTTTTATCTTTACAATCTATTTACGATATTTAGTACATATACAAAGAGATTTAACAGAAATAATTGTTAACATTGAGAATATATACGCTGCTGATCCTCTTAAATATACTGATTTTGAAAAAGTTTAACAAAATTCAGATGCATGGCTAAACAATAGAAAAAACTGATCAAAATAACTAATGATTTTTTTGTTGTTTACAGGAAAAAGTTTGAAAGCATAACCTAACACACTATTTTTCACTATCTGATATTAAATAATATAGATACAGAATTATTGCTGAAAAAAAGACAACTTCCATATGCTTAAATACAATTATGTATCAAATAACATAATACTTTTCCTGTTTGTGTATTTTTGTAATGACAAAAATCAAGAGTGTTGAAATTAAAACAGATTGATTAAATTGTGTACAGTCTATATCTTTATTTATATCTATATCTATAAATTGTGTACAGTGTATATGCATATCAGTTTGAGGATGTCCATTCTTAAAAAATATTTTGGGAAATCTTTTTTAATAAATAGGAAAATCTCAATGAAGGTCAGCTTTTTTTAAAAGTGTCACTTAAAATGCTATTCATGCAACAAAAAATAATTCATGTACTTTTAGAAACTAGTAAAATATAACCCATAATACCAATGCATGAAGACAAAGTAAAAAAAAAAATTAAATTACTTATATTATTTAACGCTCAATAACCAGTGCTTTTACAATTTTAATACACAATAGTAAATATGGAGTCGTAATATCAAATAATGCATTGTACATTCCAATAGATAAAAGGTATTTTAATTATGAAGGATTATTTTTATTAATGGTTAGTGTTTTAGTAACTTTGTAACAATAATTGATTTTCAAATTTTTGAGAACTTTTACTATTATATGTAGAATTATATTTTATTTTTTGATTGTATTTCTGCATTAGCTTTTTCAAATCTTGTATTTAAAGGTTTATTATTCCATAATGAAGAAAATAACATAAGTTAATAAATAAAATAAAAAACATATTTTTTTATCTATTATATTAGGATTTTGAAATTATTCTTTAAGTAGGAAACTTTTGAGATGATATGAAATAATAGCATGAGTTTCTTAACAATATTCAGTGTTGTTTTATATTATTTTTATTTTTATCTATCGAAAGTTATTGGTTTTTTATTCTGTTTAAATCCAACTTACCACTTTTTGCATTAACTTTTAAGAATACTATACTGTATTACTGAGATGGTGGGCTAACTTAAGTTAATGAGTTGAACTGTTGTCTCCATGAAAAATATATCCGTTCGTCCGATATATGGAAATTAAGAAGATTGGACTAAAAAAAGTATTATTCCATATTAGTAATATAGAATAATACTTTGTTTTAGTTCAATCTTCTTAATTTCCATGTGTTATTAACACAACGTTACACAAATGTAATACAACGTTAATACATAAAAAAGGAGATAGAACTTAAATAAAGTAATAATGTTACTTTATTTAAGTTCTATCTCCTTTTTTTTGTATTAACGTTGTTGTAACAGAAATATAAAGAACAAAACCACTTTATTGTGTTTATATCTTTGTAATACTAGTTATTTCAACAAAAAATATCCAATATTTGTTTATTAAGGTCGTTTACAAAAACTAAAACAACAAAAAACTGCTTATAATTGTTTAAAGATAACCACCATTTTGTTCATTTATCCTCTATTAAAATGTCATATAGTAAACCCGCACGCTGTGAAAGTCCCTAATTAAAAAATGTAAAAATTATGAGAATTTATCCACGTTACAGCAATCAAGCAACCATTCTGTCATTATTAGTGCATTGGAATTCGTCCATGTACTTAAATTTAATTTGATCATTTTTTTAAAATATTGAATAACAGCCAATATTTTTACAAATTAATCTTAAGTTTTAATAATAAAATGTAAAAAAATCCTTTAATTCTATCACAATTTATATATATTTTTTTCCTTTTTTCTAAAACACCTTCTTCAAAACATTGTCTAAGATATCATATATTTTTATGGTGTGCTCAGGATCGGAGTGGTAAGGGAGCTTAGAGGGTATTCCCCCGGGCCCCTGCTATGTCAGGGATAGTGATTGTTGCTGGATAGCTTATTTGGCTAGAGCGTCAAACGAAAAGTTAAAAAACCCGGGTTGTTGTACGATACGGGTTCCATTCCTGCCACCGCCAACTCAGCGCTTGAGTAGTATTTCTGTAAGCAAAAATGTTGGTCAATAACGGACACTATTTTGGATTAGTTTTAATGACTATTTGTGGCTGTTCCTATGCTAAGCCAACAATGTCTTCGGATAAAAACTTTGTATAAAAAAAAACAGCATGAAAATTCAAATGAATAAATTAAAAAAAAAATGCCTAAAGTTCCTAGGCCTCTCTTCAAATCAAAATACACAAATAAACTCACAAAAATACAAGAATAAGTCTAAGTCAATAAATATAGAATAAGTCAATAAATAGTTAAAGAAGAATAGAAAAATAGAAAAAATAGAAAATAGAAAATAGAATAGAATATAGAAAACAAAATAGAAAATAAAATAGAATATAGAAAATAAAATAGAAAATAGAATAGAAAAAATAGAAAAAAGAAGAAGAAGTCAATAAATAGTTATAGTAAATATGAATCAATTTTTATTTTCCTATACGTTTTAAGAAAAAATTATGCGATTAAGGGTTTAACGTTTTTTGCTAACTTTTTTGCTACCTATACGGGCCCCATCTATGCAGTGCCGCCGAGAGGATAAAGGAAGGTGGTCTCGAGGGACAATTTGTCACGGGCACAGTTATCCAAAGAACGCAAATGAAACAAGGTACCTAAAAAAATAAAAAATAAATGTTTTTCATATGTAATACAGGGAAATTTTGATATAAAAGGCGGCCCTGCATCTATGTCTCCCCTGGGCCCCTTAATGCCAGTCTGTGCCGTGGGTGTACTGTTGATACCCAATATAGAGCATAGCCATAGTTGGTTTCAAAAAAGAAAACTTTCTTGGACACCCTTCCGTAAATTGATATTCACATAACAATGTATCCGACTGGAAGATAAGCAACAAAGCGTAACAAGCGTGGATGGTTTTATAGAAAAAATAAACATTAATTTAAAAGTATATCTTATAAGATATGCTATTTATTTAATAAATTATTCATTAATTAGTTAATTTTATTGGATTCAAATTAGTTTGAAAATTTTTAGTTTATAAAAAATTTAAAATGATTCAAAAAAGACACACACAGATTTTCTTCAAGTTGGATTTTTTTAAACGTTTTCTGTCATGTGATTACACATGGAAAAATTACGATGTCAGTAGAAGAGAAGATTTCTCCAAGGTAGTTTTAATTTTTTTTTTTTTTTTTTTAATTTTGCTCAATTATATACCCATCTGGAGTTAGAGCTTTTTTTTGGATATGTGGCCAAATATTGTATACCCACATGTATATATTATACACTCACGGGTATAGTACCCATGAGTGTTTAATAGGGGTATCCCAATAAAGTTAAAGTTAAAGTAAATAGATAAACGAAAGTTGATTTATTAACTGGATGCTATATGTGAATTTATATTTAAATATAAGATGTATACGAAAAGTCATTTAGTTTTGTATCAAAAAAAAAATTTTTTTCAATATTTCGACTGCTTTATTGTGAAAGATTCCTTCTAGTATTCTTTTTGAACATTAGAAAGTCAATTAAAGTTATGGTTTACTATTATTAAAAAAGCTCTGACTCTCAAAATCATGCTTTAGCATTATTCCATTAAACTAAGGATCTGGTTGGTTTTTGTATTACTTTTTACTATTTTTTTGTTGCATCTTATATTTATGTATATTTATGCATGCACATGTATCAATATACAAACATACATATAGGTAGGTATGTTACATAAAATTTTTAAGTTAAATAATTCATAAATTTTTAGGTATCATTGAAAAGAACTCTAATACAGTATTTTAATGAAAAAATGTGAAAATCAAACAATTTTTCAAAAAGTTTTAAGGTTTTAAGTAACATATTTCAGGTATATAGATTTCTTAAAGAAACTGTGGTCAAAATTAGGTTTTTCTTGATTTAAAATGTTATAACTTTGTAAATTCCTATTAAAATGTCTACAACTTGGTATCAAAATTTTATATCACTATATATACCATCATAAATGTTTCCTCCCCTCCCCCCTCCTTAATTAATGTATATACCAACAATATACAATGTATATAGGCAATTCCATCAAAACATCAACAATGGTGTCCAAAATTAACTTTTAACAAACCCCAATAACTTTAGTATCAAATAAAAGACGACTGCAGTTTTCATTTCTGACATTAAATTTATTATATCTTTGTGGTAAGTTGCCAAAATTTGTTAAAAAGGAAGTATCATCTATGCAGCAAGTTTATTCTGGTCTCTATGTTAAACATTCAAAGCTCTGTTGCAAGTTGCTATATGATACTGTACCTTCAACTGTTAGTTACAAAATAAAACTGGTTATTTTGTGACTCTAAAAATAGTAATTAATGTTTTAACTCTTCTATTCTTTATAGTGCATAGTTTAATGATAATACAATGTATTATGATAATACAATATACTGATGTATATGTTAATTTTAACTCTGCGAGCAAAGTGTATGGGTAGACTTTTTTGTGGTAAATATCTACATGCATAAAAAATATTATGGTGTCAGATATGATAGTATCAGGTATGACCGCCATTGTCGGATGTGACAAACTTTAAATTGTTTCATTTTAACCTAGCACAAGTTGTTCTAATGAATGTTCTACTTAATTGGATCTAAATATTCTGTCAATATTGAAACTGTTTTACTAAGGTAATTGGTACTACTAAAGATAGGCTCAATTGCTGTGCCATTGTTTCATCTGGTCTATCAGAAACAAAAAGATCATAGTTGTGAGTCCATTTTTTGGCTATATTTACAAGGTTATTGATATTATTTGTGGTTTAGTTAAAGCCAAAGTACTCATTGACTAATTAAACAGTTTTAGTAAATGACTCATCATTTTTAACAAATATAAAAAGTATATGTCCATTCCTACACTCTATATTTGAATCAGAAGAAAACCATTAATTAAATGTTTTTTGAATGCTTTATGAAATACAAGCAACAATCTCATAAATAGAAAAAGTAAACACAGACACACAAGAGATTTTTAAAAATTGTAATGTAAGAGTGAGTAGTTCAACTTTTGTTTATTTATAAGAATTTAAAGTATAATGCACAGAATTTAAATTTATATCTAAATATATTACACATGGAGATACACAACACTATTATACTTATAATTCTCAGGCGAGTGTGTGTTCTTGTAATGTAAAAAGTGGTTGTAAAAGATATATAAGTTTAATTCATTAAATGGTTTTACTTATAAACTAAAATGATTTTTTTTTATTTTGTTAGCAAATCACTATAAAAGGTAAAATTCAAGTAAAATACTAAACTAAATTAACCAACTGATATGAGCACTGTCTGCAATATTCTCTGATAGAATCAAATTTGTCAGAGAATTTGTCATTAACAATTGCATTTTGAGCCATTATATTATTTTTGTTAAATCTAATAACATTATTTTATTTTAAACAGACTTTATAAGTATTATATTGATACATTTATGCCCAATAATATTAAACATAATTTATTTCTGTATATTACTTGACAAATACTGTTAATATATTATTAATATATGATATAATCAGGCTTGGTCGGGAAGCGGGAGCGATCGCTCTCGATTGCTGACCACGTAAATAATATTTAGTTGCGAAAAGCTGGCCAGATTTTTAGTCGTTTTGAGAACATTTTAAAAAGCAAAAAAAAAAAAAGCGACGAAGATTAATTGGACCGATGAGAGACAATTACAAAAAAAATAAAATTAAGCGATGTTTTTTATATAAAGTAACAACTTACGATTGTTTAAAAGGGAAATAAATATTCTTTATTTAACTAAGTTTGCAAGTTTTAGTTTTACTTAAGCTAAATTTTTTTATAAATAAAAAAGTTAATTTTATAATACCTATTTTATGTTTCGAGTAGTTTGAAAAGTTTAACATATTTGAAGCGATTCTTCTTAGTAAGATAAACAAATGAAAAAATTAAATCATCGAATTACTATAGGAATTAAATAATCAAGATAGAAATCAACTAAAAAGGTTAAAAATACTTAATAACCAGGAAGCGAAACTGCTTCGCAATATCGCTGATGATGTTTAGTGAGTGGGCTTTTTAATTTTAATTAGTATTTAAAGCAGAAAAAAGTATATTAGTCGTGACCTCAGGCGCGATGCTTGTTCATCCGCGAGTTACTTTGTATGCGTTTTTTGTGTTTAGTAACCAGAAACTACTTATATGTTTGTTACATAATTAGTTTTATTAACTTTAACGATTATAACTTCATTGAAAACGCAATTATTTTTGTAAGTCTTTGTTTAAATCATAAAACTTGCTTAAAAAGATACATTACGATAAAAAACAAATACACAAAATTACATTTACATAAAGAATACAATCTCTTTTAAAATAAAAAATAAGAATATACTAATAAAATCAATGATTTATAATAAACTTTTAAAATTTTAACAATTTAATCAATTATATTTAAAACATTTATTTTCGTAAACAAATAATATATATTCTTAAAACAATGCTAGAAATCTCAAAACGTAACAAATCGTGTATAATACAATTTTTTAAAACATTTTAACAGAATACTCTAGAACTTTATTTCGCTTAAACAGCGTATTTTTTGAACCAATAGAATTAGTTTGTTCGTTAATTTGGCGGGTTTTGAGAGTTTGCAAATATTCTTTTTATTCTTTCGCACAAAGATGTTTTGAGAACCATCAAGTTTTTTATGTTTCCATGTATGTCCGTAAAACAAAAAATTTTTGTTTCGTACATAAACTTAAATGTTCTCAAAACGACTAAAAAACCTGGCCAGTTTTATGCAACTAAATATAATTTCCGTGGTCAGTATTCGAGAGCAATCGCTCCCGCTTCCCGACCAAGCCTGTATAATATATATATATATATATATATATATATATATATATATATATATATATATATATATATATATATATATATATATATATATATATATATATTTTTTTTTTTTTTTTTTTTTATTTGCATTCACTCCCAACAAGGCTGCAAGCAACCACTATCAAGTTGGGAGTTACTAGGAAAAAAAGAACAGAGTTATAGAGCAAGGAAACGGTTGACAGAAGACTTGAAAAGTTGAAGTTTGTATGAGTCAGGAAAACATGAAGATGGGAGAGAGTTCCAAAGGATTGAAGTGCAGGGAAAAAAACTAGATGAATAAAAGTTTTTAGAGCATGCAGGGACAGATACAGTAAACGAATGAGACTTAGCTGAATGACGAGTAAAACGAGAATGAATTTTAGTTGATGGAACTAGAGATGATAACTCCTTTGAGCAGTGACAATGATAGTATTTGTAGAAAAGAGAAAGAGATGCAACTTTACGACGATGGGCAAGAGGTTCAAGCTTAGCAGGTAGTCCAGGTCCAACAACATTTACAATGCGTTTTTAGACCTTGTCAAGAAGAGAAAGTGAATCGTTAGAAGAACCAGCCCAAATATGACAACAGTATTCCATACAGGGACGAATAAGAGATTTGTAGAGGTAGAGAATGGAATCAGAAGTAAGGAAATGGTGAGCACGATAAAGAGAAGCAACCTTAGCAGAAGCTAATTTAGCAATCGATTGTATATATGGTTTCCATGAAAGGTCAGTAGTAAGCAATAATCCAAGAAGACGTAAAGAGGACGACTCAGTAAGAGGATTGCCATTCATTAATATAGGAATGTTGACCATATTACGGTAGTTGTTTGCAGTAAGCAACTGGTTTTTTTTAGAGTTGAAATTCACAAGCCACTGTGAACCCCAATCTATTACTGAAGTGAGATCGGATTCAAGATCAGCTGCTTGTTCTAGGCGATCGAAAAGAGAGGACTTTTTGTCAAGACAGGAGTATAAAGTTGAGTCATCAGCAAAAAGAGCTACTTTAGATGAAAGGTTGTCAGGAAGATTGTTTATGTAGATAAACAAAACAGGGTCCAGGATGGAACCTTAGGGAACCCCAGAAGTTAATGGAAATAAAGAAGAGTGTTGGCCCTCAAGGATGACTTTAATAAACCGGTTAGAAAGAAATGATTTGATAATCTCAAAAACTTTCCCAGAAACACCATATGAAGCAAGCTTATGGAGAAGACCAGCATGCCAAACTTTGTCGAAAGCTTTAGTTATGTCGAGAGCAACCGCCCTAGCCTTACTGCCTCCATCTAATGCACGATAAAATTTTTCAGTTACAGCAGTTAGCAAGTCGGCCGTAGAGCGAGAGGATCGAAAACCGTATTGATTGTCTGACAGTAGTTTATTTGACTCAAGATGAGATGTAAGGAATTTGTTGATCAAAGACTCAAAGACCTTGCTAACAACAGAAAGAAGACTGATTGGACAATAATTGGAGGGGTCAGAATTTTCTCCAGAGTTTTTGAATATTGGAACCACAGATGCCATTTTCCAACAAGCAGCAAAACAAGACTCAGTCAAACACTTGTTAAATAGTTTAGAGAGAATTGAAGAAAGTTCTAGAGAACAATTCTGCAAGACTGTGACAGGAATGTTGTCTGGACCACAAGCTGTAGACGAGTTTAATTGAGATATGACTTTAGCAACAGAAGCCGGAGTGATTTGAATGTCTAACCTATATATATATATATATATATATATATATATATATATATATATATATATATATATATATATATATATATATATATATATATATATATATATATATATATATAACCAAAGTTGAAAATACATAACTTAGGTACTAAAAGTGAGGTAAAATTAAGGTATCTGCTAGTCAAAATAAATTCTTTTAATTCATCGTGTGCACAGAAAATGTTTAAACTTAAATAAAAGAATGGGATAGAAAAAAAAGATCATATCTTCAACATATACTAAGCACAAGAAGTACAACACAGTTTTACTAAGTACAAGAAGTATAACACAGTTTTACTAAGCACAAGAAGCAGGCTTGTTCGGGAAGCGGGAGCGATCGCTCTCGATTGCTGACCATGTAAATAATATTATGTTGCGAAAACTGGCCAGATTTTGTAGTCGTTTTGAGAACATTTTAAAAAGCAAAAAAAAAAAAAAGCGCAAAAGATTAATTGGCCTGATGAGAGACAATTACAAAAAAAAAAAAATTAGCCAAATAAAATATCTTTAAACGCGAAAAAACTTTAAGGTAAATAAATTACGTTTAGAACAAATATTTTCGAAACATCGCTTTTTTATAATTTTTTTAAACAAATGCTCTTTATTTAGCAAAGTTTGCAAGTTTTAGTTTTATTTAAGCTAAATTATTTTATAAATAAAAAAGTTAATTTTTTATTTATAAAATAATTTAGGCTTTTTAATTTAAATTAGTATTTAAAGCAGAAAAAAGTATAACAAGTGTCAAGAATGGCAACTTAAGTGAAAATAATTAGAGTTAGTAAACCAATATATAGAAACTTTTCTTTATATCAAAGTATTGGCTATATATATATATATATATATATATATATATATATATATATATATATATATATATATATATATATATATATATATATATATATATATATATATATATATATATATATATATATATATTTGTGTTCTGTCGTGACCTTAGGCACGGTGCTTGTTTATCCGCGAGTTACTTTGTATGCGTTGTTTGTGTTTAGTAACCAGAAATTTCTTATATGTTTATTACATAATTAGTTTTATTAACTATAACGATTATAACTTCATTGAAAACACAACTGTTTTTGTAAGTCTTTGTTTAAATCATAAAAATTGCTTTAAAAGATACGTTACGATAAAAAACAGATACACACAATTACATTTACATAAAGAATACATACTTTTTAAATAAAAAATAAGAATATACTTATAAAATCTATAATTTATAATAAACTTTTAAAATTTCGACAATTTAATTAATATATATTTAAAACATTTATTTTTGTAAACAAATAATATATATTCTTAAAACAATTTATGCTAGAAATCTCAAAACGTAACAAGTTGTGAATAATACTATTTCTAAAACATTACCACAGAATACTCTAGAACTTTATTTTGCTAAGTCAGCATATTTTTTGAACCAATAGAATTAGTTTCTTCGTTAATTTTGCGGGTTTTTAATGTTCGCGAATATTCTTTTTATTCTTTCGCACAAAGATGTTTTGAGAACATTCAAGTTTATTATCTTTCCATGTATCTCCGTTAAACAAAAATTTTTTGTTTCGTACATAAACTTAAAGGTTCTCAAAACGACTGAAAAACCTGGCCAGTTTATCGCAACTAAATATAATTTCCGTGGTCAGTGTTCAAGAGCGATCGCTTCCGCTTCCCGACTAAGTCTGAAAAAATAACACAGTTTTACTAAGCACAAGAATTACAACACAGTTTCACTAAGTACAAGAAGTATAACACAGTTTTGCTAAGCACAAGAAGTATAACACAGTTTTGCTAAGCACAAGAAGTATAACACAGTTTTGCTAAGCACAAGAAGTATAACACAGTTTTACTTAGCACAAGATATATAACACAGTTTTACTAAGCACAAGAAGTATAACACAGTTTTACTAAGCACAAGAAGTACAACTCAGTTTTACTAAGCACAAGAAGTACAACACAGTTTTACTAAGCACAAGAAGTACAACACAGTTTTACTAAGCACAAGAAGTATAACACAGTTTTACTAAGCACAAGAAGTATAACACAGTTTTACTAAGCACAAGAAGTACAACATAGTTTTACTAAGCACAAGAAGTATAACACAGTTTTACTAAGTACAAGAAGTACAAAACAGTTTTACTAAGTACAAGAAGTACAACACAGTTTTACTTAGCACAAGAAGTACAGTTTTTGAAATCAATAAATAAAACTTTGATTTTCATTAATATAATAAAAAAATACTCTTTAAAAAAGTTACTTTAAAAAAAAATTTAAAATTAATATAAAATTATAATAAAATAAGCCACAAAACACCATCCTATCATACTGCCAAAACACAAAGTTTTAAAAATGCGGAACAGAATTTTAGCACAAAAATTGGTCTATACCTAATATAAGAAGCAACAACGAAAAAAAAGTAAACATACATATGAATCTTTAAAAGTATGGCTTCTTTGTCATGAATTTCTATTTAACTTTTACATGCCTGTTTGTAGTCTCAAAATAAACTTTTAAAACTCTTTATGAATAGAGCTAATGAATAGGATGTTTATGAATAGGATGTTTAGCCTGTAAAAAGAGTAAAATGATCTACTTGAAGAAATTGTATTGGACCATAAACATTTGAAAGGGTAACAAGGAGCAATGTGAGGTTTGTTTTAAAAAATGAAATGCCTTATAAGTTATCAAAACTGACTAAAAGATAGTGGTATTCAGGATGCTGTTTTCATTTTTAAAAATTTGCAAAAAAATCTTTTTCATATATTTTTTTTTATATGATTATCATCTTAAAAAGGTTTAAATTGAAAGATTAATAATAAAAGGGTTTATATATTTACTGATTGTAAATCTTGTAAATTAATTTGTAAAAAGTAAATTGAAGTTTTAATAACTGTTATTGTGTTATTGTTATTTGTTTATTTGTGTTATTGTGTTATTATTATTAAAGAATGATTAAGTATTTAAAAATATAGTGAAAAATCAGAAACTAAAGATTTCTGATTCATTGTTATATATCACATATATAACTAAAAGATTTCTGATTCATTGTTATATATCACATATATAACTAAAAGATTTCTGATTCATTGTTATATATCACATATATACCTAAAAGATTTCTGATTCATTGTTATATATCACATATATAACTAAAAGATTTCTGATTCATTGTTATATATCACATGTATAACTAAAAGATTTCTGATTCATTGTTATATATCACATGTATAACTAAAAGATTTCTGATTCATTGTTATATATCACATGTATAACTAAAAGATTTCTGATTCATTGTTATATATCACATGTATAACTAAAAGATTTCTGATTCATTGTTATATATCACATGTATAACTAAAAGATTTCTGATTGATTGTTATATATCACATGTATAACTAAAAGATTTCTGATTCATTGTTATATATCACATATATAACTAAAAGATTTCTGATTCAATGTTATATATCACATGTATAACTAAAAGATTTCTGATTCATTGTTATATATCACATGTATAACTAAAAGATTTCTGATTCATTGTTATATATCACATGTATAACTAAAAGATTTCTGATTCATTGTTATATATCACATATATAACTAAAAGATTTCTGATTCATTGTTATATATCACATGTATAACTAAAAGATTTCTGATTCATTGATATATATCACATATATAACTAAAAGATTTCTGAATCATTGTTATATATCACATGTATAACTAAAAGATTTCTGATTCATTGTTATATATCACATATCAAATGTGTTAAATATGCTGTAGTTAGAAAGGGGATGTTGCAAATGCCATGTAAAAACAAGTGGGATAGAGATGTAAAAGGTTAGGTTTTTTGGGAGGATAATCATTATCGCTAAATTGCTAACCTCTTTATAACTATTTCATAACTTTGTCTGCCTAATTAAGACTTTGATTAAAAAACATCTTTTATATTTGTTTGTATTTGTTTTTAAATAAATTATATTTATTTTTGTTTTAGTTTTTATTATTAAGTTTTTTAGAAATGAAACATTTAAAATAAGTAAACTAATAAATTAATTTTTTAGGTGTCTGATGACGATATTTCATATTTTAAAGACTTACTACCTAACCGAGTGATAACTGATGAAAATGAGCTGGAAATGTACAATACTGATTGGCTAAAGTTAGTAAGGTAGGTCTATACCCATACCTAAATATGAAAGTGGCAGGGATATTTGATCAGTTAATAATAATAATAATGATTTTACATTGTAGAAATTTAAGCTTTTTGAATAGAAAAAAATTGATGTTTTTTATTGCTAAAATGTTAATATGGAGTTGTTTTATGTCTTATCAAAGAAGAACTATTAACAGTAACAAAAAATCGTGTTATTACACTATTATAGAAGAAATTTATTACCTAATAACTTCATCATTAACATTTTTTAACATTAAGAAATTTATTACAATTAAACAACCTTTTTAAGCTTATCTTTACTTTGTTAAAATCTGAATTTATTTTTTCAGAGAAAATAAGTGGGGCATGGCCCCAAGTACCCCAGCCCCATTAACCATTTGGTAATCTGCCCTGGAAACAATTTTAACACATGTTCATCAGGGCTACACGAATGGTGAAGTTTTCAGATTTCTGGTAAGTAAAAAATCAATGTCTTGATAATGCTTAAAAAAAAAGGGGGCACATGACCCAAACCCCCCAAAAAATTTGTCTAATTTTATTTAAATTGATAAATACAGGTACCCAATAATAATTCTTTGTAGTTCTGATCATTTTGTTAGATTCATCACTCCTGAAAATAGCCAGATAGAAAGTTTTAAGAAAAATCTTCTTGGAGCCAGAGGCTAAAATTTTCCAAGAATTCTTTTTTTCCTAAAGTAATTTCAGCTGTATAAAAATTAGAAAAATTTGAGATATATAGTGACATGGCCTGGGCTAATTGACATAGAATAACTCACTTATCTGTAAAATAGTTCATGAATATGGTATTAAACAATGGTGGTTTCTTATTTTTGGAATTGTTGAACAAGTAGCATAATGTTCTTGTTGTTTAAACTTTATGCAATATGATATAGTTGCATCATATTGAAATGTATTTAATTTTTTTTTTTTTGCGTGTGGATATTTTGTCTACGCCAATCATACATTTTCTTGGTGAGTTGATAGGATCTGTTAGTGATTGTACACTGGCCCTTGCTTCAAGACTTTTGCCACCGCAAGCACTCTTTCCATGTTATTTAGCTGAAAAAATGCCATTATGCTGATACGTCCTAATTATATTTATGGTGACAAAAGTTAAATATGTTTTAATAATTTTTGTATTGTGAACCTGCGCCATCACTAAAAAATGCAATGGTTAAAGTAAGGGATTAACTCTTTTAAATAGTTTATTCATAAATGAAACAAGGAACTGAGTTTTCATGGTATTGCATATTATCTTAGATGTTAAAACACTTTTACTTTTTATTTTATTTTCTTGCATATAGTAAATAACAAAAAGATGCAATATTGCTTGAATGTTGTTCAAATAGAAACCTTGTACTGCATCTTGAATTAAAAAACTATAATTTTCAGCAAAGTCAATATCAGAAGATTTCTTGCTAATGTTATTTTTAGATGCTGTTAATATGCTGTTATTTTGCTAATAATCTCTTAATTGATATATTTGTTACAAGTTTTTTTCTTATAAAATCATTCATAGGAAGAGTTACTGGAACTATATCATATTTTTTGTTTGCTTTTTGCTACTAACTAAAGGTAATTTCTTTTATGCTGTATTTATCATGTGAAAAAGCAAGGTACTTTTTTAGTGTGTTGATATCTAGGCAGTTATTTTAACTTTGAAAAATTAGAACCACTTATTTAGCACTTATTAAAAATTTTGCAAAAAATAAAGAGAGTTCTGGAGAACACTTTTCTAAGGCTATGATGGAAATCTTGTTTAAGCTTGTAGTCTCGATTTGTTAAGTCACGTACAAATAATGTCAAGAGGTCGTTAAAGTTTTTATAATCTGAAATAGTCAATTTTTAGTGCCAAAGGTTTTGGTTTCTGGTGGTACTCACACATAGTATGTGTATGTGAATATGATACTTAATGGAGACCTAAAGTTCTTTGAATAGGAATACACCACTTTGGTTTAAGTTCACAAAACATAGAAAACCCTATCTTGACAAGGAAATGTTAATTAATTTTAACTTTAAATACAAAATTGAGTTAGATCTAACTTAAAAATAAATAACAATGCACTTGTTATTTATTTTTAACCACTATCTAAAAAGATATATTTTAATACAAGTTTTTAAATATAGATTTAGCTTTTGGTATAATAAATAAATATGTTTATTTGTTACAATAAATAAGTAACAAATAAGAAATTAATTTTATATATAAAATAAAGATTTAAAAAGAACACTTAATAACTTGCTTGTCTTTGTCACAGCTTTTATATTTATATGCTTAGTAGTATGTTTGTGCATAAAGGCACTTCATGCATTGGACATCAATCCATGCAAGGAGAAATGTATCGTTACAATTTTTCCTAGATTCTGGGCAATAACATTCATGTTTAAATGTGTGTGTGGAAGGGGTAGGTAAAGGTGGAGTGGAATAAGGCTACAAAAAAACGTAAGTTTAATTAAGGCTTAATTTAAGACTTATTTCTAATAATGATTATGAAATACTTTTACATATATGTACTAAAGTCCATCAATAACTGAAGTTGGCCAATATTTATTTTGGAATAGAAACTGCAGCCTTAACTCATCCTTGCCCTTGGTGTATAGCTAGTAAGTAACTGAGGTTGATATTTGACGGGGGCTGGGCCTGGGTTTGATAAAAGATAGCTGGGCTGGGGCCCCATGACTGCATAAACGTTTATACATCCTAAAGTATTTTTAGATTCAAAATTCATATTATATTTTGTATATATATATATATATATATATATATATATATATATATATATATATATATATATATATATATATATATATATATATATATATATATATATATACATATATATATATATATACATTATAATGATCAATATGATCATTATTATTATCATGATAATGATGATCATCATCATCAAAATCATCATCATCATTAACAGCATTTATTTTTTTTTAACTAAAGCTCTTACAATATGTAGGTCACTCTATTCAAGTTTTCTTACTTCTACCATTACCATTTTTTAAGGAATATGCTACCTCACAACATGCTGATGCCAAAATTACCTTCTCTAACAAATGTTGTTCAAATTCTTTTTCTTATCTGTCCAAAATTATGTTTTTTTTTCTTGTTCTGCTAGAGTCACACCACACATCCATCTAGTCATCTTCTCTTTTGACAAATACTTCACTATATAAATACTAAAGTTTATATAACAATGAAAGAATAATGTATGCCAGCACTAAGTAAATAGTAAATATATATGTTCATATCCATAACATGTATGTATAAAGTGCATCTTGAAAGCTTTTATTTCTTATGGGATAAAAGTTTGAAAGCTTTTATTAATTTTATCCAAACAAAGGGTAGGCTATTTGAGCGAACAAGCCTCTAAATCTGTTCATCGTAATTTTAGTCAGTTCTGAGAAAATGGTTTCAAGGTATACAAATGTCACAAAATTTATTCGAAAAAGGTTGCATAAAGCTATTGTTACATATAACTCTTGTCATAACATTCTTTTCTAAAAGTCTTACTGATAAACTATATATAAAATTTATTGTAAAAAGTTAGTTGAATATGAAACAGTTATTAACTTGTTATATTAAATATCACTAAAAACCACATCAAAAAAACTTCTAATCTTAAAATCTAAACTAAAATCTTCTTTTTATTTGTGTCAGAGTAATCTTATTCAATCATATTAAAACTCTAAGAACATGCCCCTAACATAATGCCCTTAAAACGTTTTTGATTTTTTCATATTTATTAGAATCAAAATATATTGACAAGTTTTAAATATCATTCCAAAAAAATATGTTGTGTCCTTTTAAAGTTATTTTTTAGAGTTAGTTGGGAAATTATAAACTCTAAACAATAATAAATTTTTAACAAGAGATTTTTGTTTGAAATTTTAAATCTGTTTATTAATTTTAACATAGTTTAAGATATTATGATCAAAATTTTTTTTTTATTGAAACCATACATGGAACACAAGGACCCAAATTTTAAGTTTAATATTGTTTCCAGTCTCCGATCGTCACAATTTTTTCTAAAACATTCTTATTTTGCATCAGTATGATTATGATAAAGTTTTATGAAAGTAATCTATCTTAAACACTAAAAATTCTGGACCAACTTGTTCAACCCCCTCTTTATTCTGCACTCAACTTTTTTCCCTGCGTAGCGGCCTTGTTTGACAACAGTTCTCTAGATGCTTATACTTAAATCACTTGCATCTTCATTGCTTAACATATCTAAACCACTTCTTTAACATATCTAAACCATCTTCTTTTAAGCACCTTCTCTGATGCACTCACTATTTCTTATCTCTGTCTAAGATCATGGGTTTTTTTTTTTTTCTTGTTAGACTCACACCACACATTCTTCTGACCATCATTTCTTTCTTTACAAATATTACACCATATAAACTGGTGAGAATGCCTTAACTGGAACACTTCGATTTAATTTTGAAATAAAATGTTTCATAGCTATATTTTTATATTTTTCCAGTAAAACATGTTGATTTCTGTTGATTTTTCTTAGTATTTTTTAAAAAGAGACAAGCTGTTAAATTAAGGAATATGTTCCAAATAAGGAGATTGTTCCAATTTAAAATACCAGTTGTTTCGATTATAACAAAATGATGGCCAAAACCTAATTTATTTTCAATAAAAGTGCAATTAGTTAATCAAACTATGGTTAAAAGTATAAAAAATAGTATAGGTATAAATGTTTTCATAGTTAAACTTTGGTTAATAAATATTTATTCCTTTGATGTTTCAATTTTGGCAACTCTCCCGTACTCAAGTTTCTATAAAATTGTAGCATACAATATGCTAGCATATAAAGAAATAGCAAACATGTGTTTACACTCATTTATATCCATATTATATGTGGGTATTTAAGAAATACTAAATATATGCATAAATTTATAATTGAAATTGAAAAAAATTTTCTAGCTACTGCTATTAAATCCTGTTAAATCTTTTGTTGGGGCTAAGTTTGTAACAGGACTGGGGCCCTAGTTAGTTAATATATGGAAACAGTTATGTTTATAATATTAGTACGTTAAAGAATATGCGGCTGTTAAATGTTAAATCACCCATTAAAAAATTGGAATACTTTTAATCACCCTAATGTCACTTTTAAATAACCTCAATTTAAAAGTCAAAGCATGATTTGTTTTAGTATGATTTTAAATGTGTTTTGTATTTTATCATTCTCAATAAGTTTAAAAGTTGTTGCCAAGTTAATTTGGAAGACAAAATACATATTATTGAATCTAAATGGTTTTATAGCCTATTTTTATAAGGTTTTTCTGTTCAAAGTTTCTGATAAAAAAACATAAATGGAACCTTTTTTGATTAAAGCAAAAGAATAAACGCAAATCATGCAAAACTTTTTTTTTAAATCAGAGCTCGCCTTCTCTGTTTTGTTGTAGCCCAAATAGTCTTCATTGTATACGATGCAATCAACAGACTTGATAATTTGTTCAAGCGTGTTTTATTCCTATGAGTTTAGTACATGACATCATTTTTTTGTTTGTTTACATAATTGATTTTTTAAATAAAAATCAGTTGTAATCAATTCAAAAGAATTTGATTTTAATATAATTTTTTTACTCAGGTTATGTTTATGTTTATTTTCTACATTTATGTTGTGTTCATGTTATTTTTTTACATTTATGTTGTGTTTATGTTATTTTTTATATTTATGTTGTGATTTTTTTCATTTTAGAGGAATGAGTAAAGTATTATTAAGACCAAAAACAACTGAGGAGGTTTCAAATATTGTTAAATACTGCAATAAACGCACGTTAGTAGCTTTATTTTTTAAACTGACATTTTCTATAACAATATATATTTTTTTTAACTCACAATGAATCTTTTGCTATAAAGATATTTTTTTAAACTCATAGTTTTTATGATTATTTCTTTAAGTTTTTTTGTTTAATTTCTAAATGCTATGCATTTTCTTCAAATTTTAAAATATTTTAATTTTAACTATTTATTGCACAACTCTCCCCCCAATCAGATTTAATTAATTCAATATCCAGAGTTTAATAATTCAAGAGCTAAGTTAAATATATTTTCTGTCACCTCTAAAATTTAAAAAACAAATTTTTTAAGAAGTTTAAACTGGATACCTCATTAACCTTAAACAACTCAAAAAAAAAATCAATAGATAAATGAAAGTCTTGCTTTTAGAAACATAATTTTATTAGTTTTCAAAGTTTTTAAAAAAAACTAACTGCTTCATTTTGTGTTTTTTTTTATTTTAAATACTAATTTTTAAAAAAAATTGTTTTCAGGTGATATTTATTAAATGAGAGTTTTCTGTCTTCTGTTTAACATATCATTTTACAAGTATTCCCAAAAATTCCTTAACATATCAGATTCCCTTAAAAATCAAAAAAATTTCCCATGTTTTTTTAAAAGTCAATTTTAATGAAGAGCGTAACATATTAGTAATATAAAATATGTTTTTGTAATTTTATTTAGTTTTTTAAATAACTATTTTTAGTGCACCATAGTTTTTTAGACTTTCTATATATTTTTTAGATTTTCCAAGCTACCTTTAAGATAGCTTGGAAAGTAACTAATCATTTCTTTCTAACCGGTTTATTAAAGTCATCCTTGAAGGCCAACACTCTTCTTTATTTCCAGTAACTTCTGGGGTTCCCCAAGGTTCCATCCTGGGCCCTGTTTTGTTTCTTATCTACATAAACGATCTTCCTGACAACCTTTCATCTAAAGTAGCTCTTTTTGCTGATGACTCAACTTTATACTCCTCTCTTGACAAAAAGTCTTCTCTTTTCGATCGCCTAGAACAAGCAGCTGATCTTGAATCCGATCTCACTTCAGTAATAGATTGGGGTTCACAGTGGCTTGTGAATTTCAACTCTAACAAAACCCAGTTGTTTACTACAAACAACTACCGTAATATGGTCAACATTCCTATATTAATGAATGGCAATCCTCTTACTGAGTCCTCCTCTTTACGTCTTCTTGGATTATCGCTTACTACTGACCTTTCATGGAAACCATATATACAATCGATTGCTAAATTAGCTTCTGCTAAGGTTGCTTCTCTTTATCGTGCTCGCCATTTCCTTACTTCTGATTCCATTCTCTACCTCTACAAATCTCTTATTTGTCCCTGTATGGAGTACTGTTGTCATATTTGGGCTGGTTCTTCTAACGATTCACTTTCTCTTCTTGACAAGGTCCAAAAAGGCATTGTAAATGTTGTTGGACCTGGAATATCTGCTAAGCTTGAACCTCTTGCCCATCGTCGTAAAGTTGCATCTCTTTCTCTTTTCTACAAATACTATCATGGTCACTGCTCAAAGGAGTTATCATCTCTAGTTCCATCAACTAAAATTTATTCTCGTTTTAATCGTCATTCAGCTAAGTCTCATTCGTTTACTGTATCTGTCCCTGCATGCTCTAAAAACTTTTATTCATCTAGTTTTTTTCCCTGCACTTCAATCCTTTGGAACTCTCTCGCATCTTCATGTTTTCCTGACTCATACAACCTTCAACTTTTCAAATCTTCTGTCAACCGTTTCCTTGCTCTATAACTCTGTTCTTTTTTTTTTCCTAGTAACTCCCAACTTAATAGTGGTTGCTTGCAGCCTTGTTGGGAGTGAATGCAAATAAAAAATTAAAAAAAAAAAAAAAATTTTATAGACACCTGACAGTTTTAATAGGCTTTTTATTTCTGACAGATAAAAACCAATTAAAGGGAATAAATGTTCTAAATATTCTATTCATTACTATCACATAATATAATGTCTCACAATACTTCTTATGAATGCAGCTGACAGGAATCCTCAAAAAGGCAGGTGGAGCTATGATATTAGTCAAACCCCATTACGCTTGATATTGATATCTATCAAATCTGACATACTACTTAATTCATTGAGTGAAAAAAAAAAGAACAGAGTTATAGAGCAAGGAAACGGTTGACAGAAGATTTGAAAAGTTGAAGGTTGTATGAGTCAGGAAAACATGAAGATGCGAGAGAGTTCCAAAGGATTGAAGTGCAGGGAAAAAAACTAGATGAATAAAAGTTTTTAGAGCATGCATGATCCTAGAGTACTATTAAGTCCAAAATGTCAATCAATTAATAATAATTAAGATAAAATAAAACAAAAAATTAATTGATACTTTATAATTTAACAAAAAAATTCTCTTTTTTTTCTTTACAACTTTGTTGAAAATGCTTTTAAATATGATCTTATAAAATATCTAAATACATTACTTTCCATCTTAAATGACTCCAAGGGTTCTTCAGCAAACATAATCTTTTACCCTAAAAAAAAATTTCTTTTTAAATTCATCATCATCTTCATCATCATTTTTTTTAACTCAAATAACAGCATCTAAATTGTCTTGCCTTGTCATAATTCCAGCAACTGCACCCATTGGTTTATTGTTAAAAAAAGTCATTGACCTTATGCCATAGATAAACTCTAGCAATGTTAGTGAACACACAATTATTATTGCTTTTTCCCATCAAAATATGTATAGAAATACACAATCCAAATATTATCTGGTAAAATTAGAGATACAATAAACAATAACTTCACATGCATATTATCTTTGAAAGCTTTAATGCTGATTTTATAGTTTATAGCTGACTTAGTTCTTTTTCAATATTTTGCTTTAGCTGATACACAGATTAAATATCAGCCTCTGCTTATAATTAAAATCTGTGGTGACTAAGAATGAGTGATAGCCAATGTTCTACACTTCATAAAACAACATTTATGTTTATACAAAGCTGGTGTTTACTATCAACATATTGCCTGGTTCAATATTATTGCTCAATATAATGCCTGGTTCAATATTATTGCTCAACACTCAGACATCTAGAAAGTATTTTACTACAAAAATAACTTTTGAAAAAGTCAATAGTAAGAATTGTATATGGTAACATTCTTGTCATCAATCAAACTCAATTCCAAGATGCTACCTACAGATACTGAATTTGGTGCAAAACAAAATGGGTGATTCATGGATGTTGTTTACTGGATACTTGGATAGTGATTGACACCCTAAGCAGCAAGCTGCACGATTGCTTTATTCCCGCTAATCAAACCAATATGATAACTAAAAGTTCTTTATGTAGCCTTGATAATTTACACTAAAGGTACTAACAAGAACGCCTCCATTTGCAACATAACACAGTTGATACTCTGATATATAACAGCTGCTGTTAGAATCAGCTTCTCTGAGAGCTACGGAGTTTGAGAATCTTTATTAAGATGGTTTAATAAGGTTTAACAAGACCCATTAAATTAAGTTTTTAAGTTAAAGTGGTATGATCAAAAACACAATAGTAGAGACAAGAAAATCTAGCATTTGTAATCTTGAAAAGGTCATTAGTCTGTACAACAGGTTTAAATCAATGCCAAAAATAGAAAATTACTAGAATAATTTACCAGACCAAATTATTAGGGCAAATTTCTGAAAAACGTTTAATAGTTTCAATTATATTATAAAAATGTTTATAACAAAACTTTTTTATTTTTAAGTTTTTATTTATTTCAAAAGCTATAATAATTCAGAAAAATCAATTTAAAATAAATTTTAATTTTGAAAAATTTTAAAACTTGAAAAAAAAAAATTCATTTGGTATTTAGTTATACAATCTATCTTTAAGACTATCTGTTATCAACTTTAAGACTATCTGTTGTCGACTTTAAGACTATCTGTTATTGACAATCATTCACACTATAAATAATGTAAATAATAATTTTCAATTTTTTTTTTTTTTTTTTGCAATAATACTTATCATCAATATTTTTAATGTTTTTAGTTTTTTTAAGACTTTATATATAAGAAATTATTTCAGGCTGGCATTGTGTCCCCAGGGTGGAAATACAGGACTTGTTGGTAATTTTTTTTTTTTTTTTTTTTGTTATATTAATATTTTAAGAATATTTATTTAATTTAACATTTTATTTGTTTTTATATTTTAATGTTTTTTATGACTAAATTATTACAACTTATAATTAAGAGATATAGTAGTTTTATATATGTATATTTTTCATGTAAAAATCGTTTGTTACATATTTTTTGTATTGTTAAACAACTTCTTGTTTATTAATGCTAAAAAGAATAATTTCTTATTGTGTTATGTCTTATTTAAGATCATTTATCTTTCTTTAAAGAATCCTCTGGTACTATCAAAATCAATAAAGAAGTGCTGCAACAAGTAAAATAAGGCTAGCAGTCAATATAAATTATATTTGAGAATGTAACAGTATGAATTAAAAAAAAAAAAATTAGAAATGAGAAAACAGCAGTTTAGGCAAAGTGCAGAATCTTGCAAAGTAAAGTAATAATTCTGAGTTTTAGCTATAAATGGCTATTTAGCCAGTATTGATTTTATCAAGAAAAAAATGCCTAAATTTGTTCCTCTATAAATAAATAATCCAAAATAATCCTTAATAAATGAATTAGTTTAAATACTAATTACTCGATTTTGTAAGAATTTTTGTTTCCTTTTGTTATAACTCTATTCTTTTTTTCTAGTAACTCCCAACTTAATAGTGGTTGCTTGCAGCCTTGTTGGAAGTGAATCAGAATTTTTTTTTATTTTAAAAAAAGCAAATTTATAACTAATGTTACTACCCATACTATAGGATTTTTTTTCAGTATCTTTTTTTTTTGTTTTGTTTTGTAACTTCACTAGCATTTTATGATTTTCCTATGTATAATATTAGCTTAAAATAATAGGATAAAAAATTAAATTAAATAAATATTCAAAAAAACATATGGGCTTAAACTACAGTAAGATTCCTTCAAAACCCATTTCCAAAAATTTTTTTTAAGAAAATTTCGGCCAGTTTTTTTTTGCCCATAATGTTTGTGAATACTTAATTAACAATCATAATAATATTAAATAAAAGTTGTATAATTTTTATAATTATCGCATTATATTTATTATTGTAAGTTATTCTGTTAATATCATTATTATCGGCATTTTATTTGTTATCGATGTTTTTATAAGTTAATGTTTATATAAGTTGATATTAATGGTTATATAAGTTGATATTGATGTTTACATAAGCAAGGATTGTTTTTAATTATTATACAACACAACGGTTGCCAAAGGTTACCAAAGTTTTGCTGCTCAAGAAGAAGAGGAACTTCTTGTTAGTTTTTCAGAGTTTGTAACTGTTGTTGTTTTAATCATTAATAATTTTATTATTATTGTTATCATTATTTATTTACAACACTCTCTTAACTCTATAATTCTGAAACACAAACCAAAACTAATAAACCAAAGCTAAAAAACAAAGTTAATAAACAAAGCTGCTGTTTAAAATAAATGTTGGAGGCAATACTATCAGGGGTGTAGTAGGAATCAAACTTCAAATTTCTTGTATACAAAATAAATGCTCTACAACTACATCACTACTGTGTTTATATATAACAAATGCTAGACATGCTATAGTATATATATATATATATATATATATATATATATATATATATATATATATATATATATATATATATATATATATATATATATATATATATATATATATATATATATATATATATATATATATATATATATATATATATATATATATATATATATATATACTATAGCCCATATAGACGTTATATATTTGTCGATTTTCTTGCTGACATAAATCCATAAGGATTTTTTGGAAAGAGAAAAATAATGAAAAAAATTGCTGTCCTAAATCCTTATTTGATGAACCAGCTTTGAACCCTTGCATTTTCTACATAGTTCCCTTACGGCTTCCTATTAGTTTCAGTATGAGTTCATGTTGCTGGCTAATTACACAATATTTACATTTATATTCCCAGTTTACTAAATCTTATCTCAGACATAAGGCTCTTGAGACTTTTGAAAAATCTTCAACAGCATCATTAACAAAGGTAAGACTAACATTCTGTTTCTAATTGATTGGACTGGTCCTATTACCTCTCCCGAGAACATGAATGAACTATTAGCAAAAAACTTTTCTAATTCTTATAAATAACCACTTATAAATCTAACGACATAATTAAAAAAAGGTAAAAAGATTATGACATTTTCTTGTCATAATCTTTTTACCATTCAAGTTAAACTGTTGTTAGACATTCAAATTACTCCAGATTCCATTTTATTATTATACAACGCAACGGTTGCCAAAGGTTTGCTGCTCAAGAAGAAGAGGAACTTCTTGTTAGTTTTTCAGAGTTTGTAACTGTTGTTGTTTTAATCAATATTTTTTATTGGTTGTTTTCGAATACCATTTCTGAGGATAGTTGACATAGAAACATCTCAATTTAATTCTTCTACAGCTTGTGTTTCAGACAACATTCCTGTCATAGTCTTACTAAAGTGTTCTCCAAAGCTCTCATCAATTCTTTTTTAAATATTTAAAAAGTGCTTGACTGAATCTTACTTTCCTGCCTCCTGGAAGATGGGATATGTGATTCTAATTTTTTTTAAATCTGGAGAACATTCTGATCCTCCAACTATTGTCCAATCACTCTTTTTTCTATTCTTTCCAAGATCTTTGAGTCTTTGATAGACAAACTTCTAACAACCCATCTTGGATCTTATAACTTACTCTTAGACAAAACAATCTTCTCGTTCTACAGGTGATTTGCTAACAGCTATGACTGAAAGATTCTATTGTGCATTAGTTGGAAGCTGCGAGGCAAAGGCAATTGCTCTTTACATATCTAAAGCTTTTGATAAAGTTTAGCATCTTGGTCTTCTCCATAAATTTGCTACATATGGTGTATCTGGGAAGAATATTGAGATTATCAAATTATTTCTAACCTTTCCCATGTAAATCTAACCATAACAATGGAAAATCTCTCACTCTTCTTAGTCCTCTTCTTTATATCTTCTTGGATTATTGTTCACTACTAAACTCTTATAGATATACATTCGATTGCAAAGTTAGCATCTGTTAAAGTTGCTTGTTTATATATTTGTGTTTATTTTAGCTGTTAATGTTGCTGTTTATATATTTATGTTTATTTTAGCAAGAATAATAGATAAAAGGGTATTACCTCAATAAAATGTTTATTCGTTTTATTTCTTATCTTTAGGTGGAAGTGTCCCTGTATTTGATGAAATCATCTTGTCTTTTTCTCTCATGAACCAAGTCAAGAGTATTGATCCTGTTTCAGGTTTTTCTTTTTTTTTTTACTTTTTTTTTTAAATTTGTTGTTATAACAAATTCACTCCCAACAAGCCTAGCTTTGTTGCTTAACTCTTAATAATGTAAATAAAACTCCTAATAATGCTGACTATCCTCATAAACATAAACTGACTATCCTCATAAACTAACTCTCAATAATGCTGACTATCCTCGTTTAACAAAAGAGCAACCTATACAAATACAACCAGAAACATCAGTACGTCAACTATCCTCAGAAATGGTATTCGAAAACAACCGATAAAGAAAAAGGAAAACGAATAATCTTATTTTCGGTTCTTCTGATTCAATAAACCTACACTGAACCACCTGCCTAAAGGAAATGTTGATATTTTTGTTTCACGACTAGATCCTCTATCTACAGAGAAAGATGTTATTGATTGTACCTATGATATTTTGCAAATTGAAAATGATTATTCTGTAAAATGTAAGAAGTTCAAGTCTAAATATCCTGGATACTCTTCATATTATATATCTGTTTCTGTTGACCATTCTCAGTTAAAAAATAAAGTAGATTGTCTAATGTCAATTGAAGCCTGGCTAAATGGTCTACTTGTAAAAAGATATTTTAAGCCCAAAAATGGCCAACAATAATAGCTTATCATTTTTTTCCTTCGACTGTCGTTCGTTTACAAAAAGTGTTTTTGCTATAAAGAACATGTTTAATGAATATGACTTTATTTTGTTCCAAGAGGATTGGTTATTGCCCTATGAGCTTGGTTTATTAAACAATGTTCATAATGATTATTATCGTACTGGCTTATCTGCTGTCAATATTTCATCTGATATAATGATTGGAAGGCCATATGTTGGTAGAGCCATATTATATTGTAAAGATCTTGCTAAAAGTATTCAAGTTATTGAATCTTATGAATCTAGAATCTTGTGTTTAAAAATTGTCTCAAATATTGGTCCTATGTTGTTGCTAAATGTGTACATGCCAACAAATTATAACGATGAGCATAGTCTCCATAATTACATTGATTTATGCTAAAAAATAAAGTCTATTATAGCTGAGGCAGATGTTATTCATATTATTATTGATGGCGACTTCAATTGCGAAGAAGGGTCTAGATTTTTTGATGAGTTCTCAAATCTCGCAACAGAAAATAATCTAATTAAATCCAATATTAATCGTATAAACAACATTTTTACATATTTTAATGATGGTGGAAATCATGTCTCTTGGTTGAATCACGTTCTGTGCAGCCCAACAATTGATATTCTGATAATAGATCTTTCAGTTCTTACAGATGTTATAGCATCAGATCATAAAACAATAACGTTCTCTTCGAGAGTTTCTTGCACATTGGAAAATACAACCAAAATATAAAATAACAATCCTTATATGAAATAGTCTAGTAGTAATACTAAATGGCAGACTTTTAATGACAAGTCATTATCCTTTTATGAGAAAAGGTTAGACCTTTTATTACAATCTATTCATGTACCATTTAACTTGTTTACTGATGACATAGGAGTAACCTATAGAGCTGATGTTTATATAGACTTATTTTATAGTGACCTCATGAATTGTGTTCAATCTGTTGTGGCTGACACTATACCACACAGTGGGGCAACAATAAAAATTCTGAATTTAATACTCCTGGTTAGAATAATTTTGTTAAAAAACAAGCATGATATTGCTATAGATGCATTTAAACTAATTTTGCATGGGAAGCTAAAACATGGTGATCTTTTTGAGAAAATGAAGAGTACTCGTGTCACCTTTTAACTAGTTATCAGACACTGTAAGAGGCAAATAAAAGCTAATAAGTGTTTAGAAAATTTTTATAACACAGATCCAAAAAAGTTTTGGAGCAGTATAAATCGTATGACTAACAAAAAAGTGGTGAGTCATGTTGCTAGTGTGGGAGGAGCTTTCGGAGACAATGATATAGCTTATATGTGGAGAGATCATTTTCAAACAATGTATAACTATAAAAAATACAGAGTACAAAGGCTACTTTGCTGAGAAAATCCAGCTACTCAAACAAGGTAATTTAGATATTAACATAAGTGCCGATGATGTTATCGCATCAATAAAAAATCAAAAATCAGGAAAAACAGCTGGTCCTGATGGTATATGTATGGAAGCTTTGACATGGATATTTACCATCCAAGTTCTGTGAATCTTCCATTATTTCTTTGGTGAAGTTCAACATGGCCAACCTAACTGATGTGAACAATTACAGGGCAGTTGCACTATCCCTTGCTATTTTGAAAATATTTTGTTATGTAAAATAAATATACCAGACAATGTAGATGGTTATCAGTTTGGTTTTAAACAGACGCATTCTACAACCTTATGCACTAGTTATTTAAAGAAAGCTATTAATTACTACACATCTAGAGGTAGTCATGTGTTTACATCGTTTATAGATTTTAATAAAGCATTTGATAACGTTGATCACTAGCTTCTGTTCTGTAATCTATTAGATCAAGGAATATCAAAAAATATTGTAAGTCTGCTTGCATTCTGGTAAAGCAACCAGGAAATGTGTATTAGTTGGCAGAAAGCTAAATATCCTGCTTTTAGTATAGGAAATAGTGTGCATTAAGGTGGTGTTTTATCACTGTTACTATTTAGGTTTTACATTAGTAATCTTGTATTTAAAATTTCAAATGTGTTGGCTGCAATATAGGAGGGATTTTATTCAATATTCTTGCTTATGCTGGTGATATAGTACTTATAGCTCCTATATATCTTGGTTGTCTCTACAAAAATTATTGAATGCAATTAATGCCAAGGCCTTATTAATTAATATGTCTTTTAACACAAAGAAGACAGTTTGTATGGTTTTTAATCCTAAGCAAAAATTATGTTGTTGTCATTTCCAAAATTGAGTGTAGCAGGTTGCAATCTGGAATTTGCTGACAGCTTTAAATACCTTTGTCATATTGTGAGAAATGATCTAGCAGATGATACTGATATAAAAAAAGAGATAAAAAATGTATATACTCGAACAAATATACTAATAAGGCGCTTTTACAGGTGTTCAAGCCTAGTTAAAGTAAGACTATTCCAATCACATTGTATATGTATATATAATGCTTCCCTGTAGAACAGTTTTAGTACAAGAACATTAGCACATCTACGATTTTGCTATAACAAATGTTCAAAAATGTTTTTTGGATATAAAAAATATTGCAGTCTGACTCAGATGTTTTTAGAGTTAAGGCTCCCAACTATTGAGACTATTTTGTTTAACTATAGGATCAACTTAAAGAAACAGTTTAATGAGTGTGCCAAAGGAAATCTTACTTTCGGTTCAATTAACAGAATATTAGGACTGTCCAAATGATGGATAATTGTAGATGATTGTATCTGTTCTCTTTATTGACTATTATTTGATTTATTTTTATCTATAGACCTTGTGTCTATTTAAATGTATATGATGTTTAAATTTAATACATTAATAATAAAATAATTAAATAATAATAATTATATATATATATATATATATATATATATATATATATATATATATATATATATATATATATATATATATATATATATATATATACACACACACACACATTTAAGCTATTCAAGACTCAAAAAATCAGATAAGTCATAAATAAATATTAGGAAAATAAGGCATAAATAAAAATTACAAAAAAATTGCTGAGAAATGTTTCAACCTGGGTCTCAAAAGAAGCATAATTATCCAAAAATTTTGAAAATAAGAATCTTTTCATACAATTAAAATTATTAATAAATTATAAATAAGTAAATAAAACTATATAAAAATATCGAAAATAATAAAAAACATTAAAAAAATATATAAAATAAACAAGTTAATATTTTGATGAGATCTATTTGTATATTTTGATTGTTATATTTGGTGCAGGTAATGTGCAGTGCTTGAATTAGACAATGAAATGTGTTTCAGTGCTTGAATTAGCAATGAAACCCCACAGAGAAATTTTTTTCATACATGTTTCCAGATATTTCCTGCCTAAGCCCTCTTTAGATATATCTACTTAAGACCTAACATATTCTGATTTGAGTATGATTTTATCAATGGTATTTTATACTGATCTAAGTTCGTATTATAGGAAACTACTGCTACCACAGCTGCTGCTGTTACAACAAGATTAAATTCTAAATTTTGTTACCACATTATGGATAAGATTGTATTTTCTATTATACTGTTGTAAATATTTTTTTATAAGGTACTGTTGTGTGTCAATCTGGTGTAGTTCTGGAACAATTAGATAACTGTTTGTATGAGCATGGACTAATGGTCCCTTTAGATCTTGGTGCAAAAGGAAGGTAATGATAAATTTTTTTTTTCCTTTTTTAGAAGACATTAGATTAATATTGTTTTTATTCTTTTTTTTTTAATATAAAAACATTTGCTTTTGTGTTTTACTCATGATATTCATATGAACTCCTAACATCTGCAAAATTTTATATCCGCTATGATGGGTGGCAAAAAACTATAAACAAACAAGTCGGCAAAAATAGATCTGTAGAAAATGATTAGGTTGCAGCTTTCTTAGCAAATTATGCCATATCCGAATTATAAAAGTCTTTATTTATAAGTATTATAGGATATAATAAAAATTATCAGTTCTAGAGATTAATTTCAACCCGTTTTATTTATCAAAAGACTGTACAATTAATTAATTCTTACAGGCAAATGGCCTAATCTCACTTTACTTATATATTTTATCTAATATGTTATCTTTTTAAATCAGTTCGCTAACTCTAGTTTTAAATACTAAAAACTTCTTAAATCTTACAACTTTGTAACTTGTTGTCTTGTGCCTTTTAAATTTATTTTTAATCAATGTAATAAACAAGTTAAAACTAGGTTCATGGTCTATATATACAGATACTGGTGGTTTAGGTCAAAGTACTTTTACTAAAACCTTAATGAATTTATGGGTTAGCTTTCTTGAATAATTTTAAATGCAATTCAGTGAAGTCTTTTCTCATGCAAGAGCAGCATCTTAATACATGCAAAGCTATATTACAGTAATTTTGAATATCTGAAAATCAATCAATAATATATTTTAGATTATAATTCTAACATTTAAGGATATACTGTAAGAAATTTAAAATAATAAATACAATACTTATTAAAAAAAAAACTGGTGTTATTAAAATTATAAAAATAACAATAAAAATAATAATAACAAGGTCTGGGGTGCACAGAGTCTTCATGATGCACAGGGTAGATCATTAAAAATTTACTAGATGGCCCTAACTCTACCACCTAAAAAATATCAATAATAAGACTAATAAAGCGCTTCTAGTAATTTTCACTGTCTGATGATCCTGGATCTTTCACCCTATGTGCACCCCTGAACAATGTTCACAATATAGAGTCTTAGCTGTTCTAATTCAAATAAATTGAGAAACTTTTACAAAAAAGAACAAGAACAGTTGAAGTCATGAACTTATACAACTTTTGAATAAAATATTTTCAAATATAAAAATAACATATAAATATTTTTAAATAAAGACATCACTAAAGATGAATTTAAATAATTTGCAAAGTTGTTATCCATAAGACTTTTTTTTTTTTCCAGTACTGTAAATCGGGTATTTATAGTACCGTAAATAGGGTAAAAATACTTTGAATGGTGGGGTTACTTTGAATAAAAATTAATTTTTTGTTATTGCTGTAAATATTAAAAGTATTTATATGAAACTGTTTAATGATTAAGTATTTAAACATTATTTTTTTTAAGTTGTGTTTCTTAAGAGCCAGTCATAACTCTTATATGCATAATAATAAAATTCAAATATTGTCAATAATGAAAGAAGGGCATATAAAAATATCTAAAAAATGTTTAAAGTAACCTTGGTTTATGGTAAAAAAAAAAATTGTTATTATAATAAAATCTTTGTGTCTTTTAAAATTTTAAATGTTCCTTCTTCTATCTGATTATCCAACCTTGTGTTTTTATTAATATTTAATTTTTGTAATTAAAAAATGTGATTTTTTCTCTGTCATCAATTGCTGCTTTGCTGTCTTTATTAAGTTTTGAACGGCTGTAAATTTACATGTTACAACTAAGTTGTAAATTGAACTTTGCTATCTTCATTAAGTTTTAAACTGAACGCCGCTTTCTCGATTTTGTTTTAAACTGAACTTTGCTGTTTTTGTTACGTTTTGAAGTGCAGTGTTTGCTGTCTTCATAAAGTTTTAAACTGAACCTTGATGTTTTTATTAAGTTATAAACTGAACTAAGCTGTCTTCATTTAGTTATAAACTGAACTTTGCTGTATTAATCAAGTATTAAACTAAATTTTTTAATTTCTCGATTTCTTTGTTTAGTTCTCATAATTTTGGCAGTTTCAGATTCTTTGACAATTTAAAAAAATTATTTTAATTAGCTGTTAATATTATTTTCTTCAATGAGCACTTTTGGTAGATTTCTTGTTCAAACGATTTGATGTATTATATACAATTAATTTCTTTTACTTTTTATATAAAGGTGTATAAACGAGGAGAAAAAGTCAGCATGGTTTTTATCAGCACTTTTTCTTCGAAGCTCAAGTGTTTATTTGTAAAATTCACAGTTCGGCTAAACTAAAGTTGTTCTTTAAAACCGCTAGTCATAACGTCCATTGCTCTTTTTTTTGTTGAAAACTTGTTAAAATATTGTTTACTGCATTTAATTTTTCTGTTTTTGCAGTTTGGTGCGCAACAACTCGAGCTAAAAATGTCTAAAAAATGTTGAAGATCTTCAACGTTTTTTATTTGTTTCCTTCTTTTTGCCACCCATCACAGCGGACACAAAATTTTGCGGATGTTTGGCGCTCAAATGAATATCATGAATTGATGGCCATAATAAATTAGATAAAATGTTGCCTAGAGGCATAGTTAGGTATGTTCCATTGTTAGAAATAACAAATATACTTAGGGTTCTGTTAGGACAGAAAATGTTTTTTAAAACTATTTTTAATCATATTTGTTACTCATCTTTAATCAAATTAGCATTTGCAAATATTTGCAAAGACTGGTCACAGTATTCATAAACCTTTAGTTTGGAAAAACTGGTCATAGCATTCATAAATATTATGTTTGCAGAGACTGACCACAACCTAGGTAAACTTTTTGTTTGTAGAGACTAGCCACAGCATTCAGCATTATTGTATATTATATAAAACTAACTACTTATTGATAGTTTTGACCATTTTTAAAATATTTATGTTAGAGCAGTAGAGCTCATATTAAAACACAAATGATTAGTAAATTAATAAATATATAGAACAAGGCTTGCTCAGGAAGTAGATGCAATCGCACTCTATTCTTGATCATGCAATTTATATTTAGTTGCAACAACTTGGCCATGCATTTTTAGATGTTTTGAGAACATTTAAATTTATATGTCTGAAACTTTTTGACACGATTAAACAATTAAATTTATAAAAAATCTTTTGTAATCAAATGTTTTAATATGAACAAAGCGTTTTTAAACTAAACGATGATTTACTTTTATTAAACGTTTATAAAAAAATTTTATAATTTTTTATAATTATATAAAGTTAAGTAAGTTTTATTAAGAATTAAAATAAATAATATATAAATAATAATATAGATTGATTTTTTATTCTTTAAATTCTTTTTAAAATGTTTTCACTAACAATTTTTTAAAAATTAGACTTTAAACAATAATTGCCTTTTCAATAAAATTAAAAAAATAATAATCATCAAAGTTAATAAAATTAATAATCAAATAAACATACAGGAACTTACAGACAACTTAACATAAACATACATATATACATAATGAAAGACAAGTGGATGAACACCACCCAGATGGTTGAACAAAACATTAACATACATTTATATAAAGTGACTTATGAGTGAACCAGCGCTGTGCCAGCACTCCATACAAAACAAAACATGCAAAAATATTAAAAAGCCTACTCAATACAAATCAGTGATATTGTGATGCAGTTCCGCTTCCTCTTCATTAACATATTTTATCTTTTTAGTATAACCATCAAAGTTTGCTTTCTAATAATTTGTTGCAATAAAAACTTGCATCTAGTTTGTAATAGACAAAATTAAATCATAGTTTACTTAGAATATCGAATTCCTTTTATATATTAATTTATAATACAATATAGTAAAATAAACCAATGGACTTAAGTAAAATGTAAAGTTATTAAATATATACATAGTTTGCAGTTTGGAAACTTATCATAATAGACCACTGTTTCAGGGACCTGGCGCATTGCTGAATTTTTTTAACATTATAAAGACTGCTAAATAAAAAAATCGTTAAAATATTTGTAATGCAACGGTTTAGTTATTTCTTTTGTTTATTTTACTTAAGAAGAATTGTTTTGAATATTTTAAATTTATATATTACAAATTAATTTTAAAAAAATTTAATATAAAAGAGAGAAATTTAGAAATAATTTATTCTAAACGTAATTTATTTTATTTTAGTTGGATTTTTTTCTCTGTTAAGAATTCATTTCTTTTTTTAGTTAATTTTGGTAGTTGTCTCCCTTCAAGTTAAGCTTTTTTTTGCGGTTTTTGAAGTGGTTTAAAAACATCTAAAAAGCCATGGTCATGTTGTCACAACTAAATATTATTTGTGTGGTTAGATATAGAGTGCGATCGCACCTGCTTCCCGACCAAGCTTGTATAGAACATATAATTATTTATACTTTTCATATATTAAAGTGTAAAATATTATCATAATTTGATTGTAAAATTTATGTTTTAATTTCAATTCAACTTGTTTCTTTGCGCAGCAGCCTTGTTCATTAAGGTTCGTGTTTCGGAGTTAAAGGGTTGAGAGAGGATTATAACCACAAATAATATGCTTTTATTTATATACATATAGCTGTTTTATTGGTGGCAATGTTTCTACAAATGCAGGTGGGCTTCGCTTCTTGAGATATGGGTCATTGCATTCCTCTGTCCTTGGTGTTGAAGCTGTATGTTGTTAATATTTAATTTTTTATGCATAATAAGAAATAAATTGATGAATCAAGTAATTTTTATTAATAGAAAAAAAAGTAAAAATTTAACTGTAAAAATGTTTAAATTTTGATTTAAGGTGTTGGCTGATGGGACAATTTTAGATTGTTTATCAACTCTCAAAAAAGATAATACCGGTAATGAGTTCAGTAATAAAGTTCAGCTTATGAAAAACTTAATTCCTTTTATTAAATAGTTCTCTATGCATCATAGGCTTGATCTTAAAACTATATATATTTTAACTATTTTTAGTAATATATTTTTTCTTTACGCTAAAACTTTTCATTATTTATTATATTTATTATTACTAATATTACTAAATATTACATGTTAATAATATGGTTATTTCTAAATATGATAAATTGAAATATAAATTAATTTTGATTGTTTTTTGAATAGTTTTTTTTTTTAATTTTTAAATGATGAATTTAATTTTGGATTGGTAATTGAATAATTTTAAAAAAATTTAATTTAAGGATATGATCTTAAGCAGTTATTTATTGGATCTGAGGGTACGTTAGGATTAGTTACTGGTGTCTCATTAGCTTGTCCACCCAGACCAAAGGTATAAGTTTAACTTATTAGCTCATAAACTCTTACCAGCATTATAAAATTTACTAATTATTTTGTCTACTAATTTTCATTTTACACTAAACATTTTATTCTAAAATAAAATTAAAAAAGAAAAATTTTTTACAGCTTTTATATTTGATGTTAAAAAATTTTTCCAGTTAACTAATGTAAATTCATTTATGAGTACAGAGTACAAAGTTAGTATTTATGGTTCATAGGTAACTACAAAAAAATAAATTTAGTTTAATTTTAATTTTTCCTTTTTATTACTTCAAATTTTAAGGTTAATCATATGAGATTTATTTCATATTGTAGTAACATTTATTTCTGTTTTAATATATCAGTTGTTGTGCTTAATATGCTTTGATAAAACATTTTTTATTACTTACACATTGCAGCTTTATTTATTTAATAAAATTAGCAAATTTTTATTTGTAAAAGGTTTTATTTGTAAAGGATTTATTTGTCAACAATGAATCAATAAAAGGGTAAATACAGGTTGTGCCATTATAACTTAGGCAATTTGTTTTTGTATGCTATATTTTTTATAATTGTTCAAGTTTGTTTCTATTTCAGAAAAAAGTATTATTTATACACCTTTTTGTTATTTTGTGTCTCAAACCCAAGGAAGGCATGCAGCTTGTAAAATTGTATTTTGAAAAAAAGCTGTCTGTGACAAATGTAATTTATGAATGACAAAAATTAGAAGGCAGACCTTTTGTACTATATATAGAAAAACAGTGTTGACTATTGTCCAACTAATTAAATTTACTGATTCAGAGCTTAGTTTAAAGGCACTAATTCATCCACATCCTGTGAAGTCAGCATCAAATATTGCCATAGTGAAGGAAAGTGTTAAATAAAGTTTAAAAATGTCAGTTATACATCAATTACTGCAACTTGGATTATCTGCAACTTCATTGAGATGAATTTTAAAACAAGACCTTGGTTTATAATCATAAAAGGTTCAGTTAACTTCTTGAAACTGATCATGACAACCGTTGAATATTCGTTGATTAGATTCTTGTCCAAGTTGATTCTGATTTTGCTACAAACATCATTTTCAGCTTATTTTTACCTTGATGTCTATATGAATTATCTGATAACCCTAGAAATAAAGGAACTTCCTCTTCTAAAAGCTAAAGGACTAATTCGTACATATTTTGAAAAAATTGGTGCCAGACAATCACTTACATTAACTGGTGATCGCTATCAACATATGCATGAAATCTGTTTTTTTTTAATCTATTGTTCATCATATAGACTTAGAAACCACATTTTTTCAGCAAAATGGTCCAACATGTCACACAGCTTAAAAAGCAATAGCTTTATTGAGATCCAGTTTTCTAGGTCATATTATTCACATAAAAATGGTGTCAGTTGGCCACCAAGATCTTCTGATTTAACTAGGAAGTGACCCGGGCCCCAGCCCTGGCTAAAAATGAGACTTTTTGCAAATCGGGCCCCAGCAAGATTATAAGATTTAGCAGGGGTTGAAAGCCTAGGCTAAAAAAAGTTTATAATACTTAATATATTATAATTTTATACTTACATTTTTTATTTATTAAATACTGGCATATATTTATATATTTTTTAATTCTTGTCTTAATTGCAAATTTGTTCTCCAGAACTCTCTTTAATTCTCTATAAATTATTTAATAAGTGCTTGACTGAGACTTATTTTCCTGCTTGCTGGAAAACAGCATCTGTTGTTCCAATTTTCAAAAACTCAGATGAACATTCTGAACACTCCAAATATTTTCTGATTAGTCTTCTATCTGTTATTAGCAAGGTCTTTGAGTTTTTTATTAACAAATTTATTATCTCCCATCTTGAATCAAATAACTTACTGTCAGACATTCAATATGGTTATTTGATCATCTTTCTCAACCACAGACTTGCTAGCTGCTGTGACTGTAAAGATTTAGTTGTGCATTAGATGGAGGTGGAAAAGCTAGGTCTGTTGCTCTTGATATATTGATTAAGTTTTACATGGTGTTCTTCTCCATAAACTTCTTTCATATGGTGTCTCTGGGAAAGTTATTGAGATTATCAAATTGTTTCTTTCTAATCACTTAATTAAAGTCGTCCATGAAGGCCAACATTTTCTTCATTTTCTATAACTTCTGGCCATGAAGGCCAACATCTTCTTCATTTTCTATAACTTCTGGGGTACCTCAAGGTTCTATCCGTGGACTTATTTTGTTTCTTATCGATATTGATAATCTTTCCAACAACCTTACACCTAAAGTAGCTCTTTTTGCTTATGACTCAACTTTATAATCATATCTTGACAAGTTCTTTTTTTTTTATCGCTTAGAACAGACAGCCGATCTTGAATCTAATCTCACTTCTGCAACAGATTGGAGCTTGCAGTGCCTTGTAAATTTCAATTCCAACAAAACTCAGTTAT